CCAGAGACCATGGATACCCAATAGAACCTTCAGGATCCTAAGCAGCAGCTCTCCCCACCCCACACCACAGTGGGACCCAGGCAGGAGCCTGAGCCAGCTACAAAGACGCCCTGTCTGAAGTACCCTGACGGAGAAGAGCACTATACTGCGTTTAAGACTCAGTTTACTCTTCCATCCTCAAGTATCAGCAAACCAAGGTCGCACACACCACGCATTTCTGAGAAATGAGAATGAGCTGTGGGAAATTAAGTTTCAGGAAAGGGGTCCAAACTGAGGCTTAAGGGAATGCTTGTAGTTTAATGCTTTCCAGGAACAGGCTCAAATACTGGGAAATAACAACATACAGACCCACTCTGTTAGCCTGCAGCAGGCCAAGTCCAGGGAATTCTCTTGGAGGCCCAGCTCTGAGCTGAGCAGGGCAGTCCAGGAGAATTAGCTATATATCCAGAGTGGCCTCTGCCTATTGGGTAAAAGGGAGTGGGTGTTTCCAACCACAGTGGTCCACATACACATAGTCTTTATTTTTTTAATTAATATTTTATTTGTTCTCATAGTCTTTAAATACAAAACACATGGGAAAATGATATATCTCCGTGGCTCTGCATTGCTTTCAGGATTTCCCAGCCTGTCCTCACCTTCACTCTTGCAGATGAACAAATTTGCATTTGTATGAGTCAAATTTAAGCCAGGTGAATAGTAAAGAAAATCTCATAATTCTAAAAGGATAGAATGGTAGCGCTAAAAAGTTCATCTAGTCAAACCCTCTCATTTCACAAATGATAAACTGAGTTACTTTGTTCAAAGACACAAAGCAAGTAAGGGACACGGTAAATCATATAACTCCTAGTCACTGCCCATCTGGTATTACTGCAGCCCACTGAGGGTCCACAACTAGACTGAAAATGAGCATTTGGGGCAACTGGCAGTCAGGGATCCAGCCTCACCAAGATACTCCAATTCAAACAAGCATCTCCTGGTCGGCTTCCAAATGCCTCAACCTCTCCTCCTTATTCCTTCCACTATAAGTCAAGGATCCAGATTGGAAGCCAATTTGGCTGGAGAGGAAGCAGAGGAGTGAAATGAAAGATGCCTGGCCAGTGGTCCTGTGATCCCAAGTTGCACAGGATGCTCTGAGTCCCTCTGATCTAGCTTCTCTGGACAGTAGGCAAAGGCCTTCAGTCAAAGGCGAGATATCGGCAAATTTTCTCAAAAGATACCCCAAGTCAGCAACTTGGTGGTAAGTCCAGTGAGCCACTGAACCAGGCAGTGAAAAACCCTAAGATGGAGAAAGGACAGCCTCATCTGCCCCTGGTCCCTTCATCCTTGGGATCCTGCCCAAAGGCAGAGTGTACCATTTTTCCCCAAGCTAGGAAGCACTGTCTCCCTCAGAAAGATCCATGAGCCTAAACCATCCAGTGAGCAGTGATAACCCTTTCTGACTACTGTCCCTTTGACTGGGCAGCGAGAGCCCGAAGCCCTGTTTGCCCCACCTGCCTCCCGTCTTACTTCCTGGCTCAGTGTTGACTGGCAGCCTAGGCAGAAAGTGCAGAGTACTGGGTTTAACTCTCGAACACATTCAAAAGGACCCAGACTTAGAGCCAATGTTAACAACTCTGGATTGTTCTTCTTTGCCCCTGGCCCCCAACTCTAACCCCACCATAGTTCCAGCTCACTTAGGGTTGCGATAGTGAGCTGGGGTCTGTAACCAATGCCACCTTTGCTCCTCTTTCCTCCAAAAGACTCCCCTCTATCCCAGAAGCCATGCTATAATCTCTATCATATTGCCGGGTTGCCCCTTATACTGTCCGCTGCTTAGTCTGGGTTGGGGTAACTCCCAAATTTCCCACAAGCTCTGCAAAAAGTATGGGCTCCTTTCTCTCCCAACCTTTTCCATGTTTTCCTCACCTGGACCTTGGTCAATTGTCTTCAACTCAAGAACCTTCTACCTGCCAGTCATCCAGAGCTATGGCCCAGGGAAATTAGCTTCACCCTCAAGACAAGAGAAGAGAGGGGACAATATATACTGCTGGTGCCACCACCGAACTATAGAGCACAAAGATCACAAAGGATAGACACTGCATTCTCTAGAATGGTCTGAATTCCACTGCCCTTTTATTCCTGACGGCTTTTTCTTATGCCCAGAGGTCTCTCTTAGTGGAGTTATGCCCCCAAACATCAAAAACCTTCTCTGGGGCTCCCTCACAATAGTTTCAATTATCTGCACAATCTTAAACATTTCAAGCCAATCAGCACAGCTTTACAGCAGGGCTATGAAGATACTAGGCTTAGTGAAAGAGCACTTGGGTTGTGGTGCACCTCTAACCATTACATTCACAGACTGTTAGAGATGGAAGGTATGTCAGACATTGATAGAAATGGACAGTGTACCAGCCTCCTTGACTGTGTGTAGGGGAGAAGGTGTATGTTGTGTTCCCCAAAATGGCTATTAGGTAAATATGGGTGGATAAAGATTTTAGCAAGCTTCTACAAGCTTCTGTCCGTCTGAGGCCCAGTGCTATGGCACAGGTGGCTGGAAAATTTTGAGTAAAATGTGAACAATGTCTGCGCAGGCAGAGGCACATTCAGAATCTTGTGATTCCAAAGGTTGCTTGGAAAAGCTGAGGGGCTCGAGGAAGGTAATGCAGAGCATGAGATCTTCTAGGAGCTCAGGAATGTGGTGTGATATTCCCGACTTTTCCAAAATAAAAACTGAGGTGTTCCCAAGAGCCTCCAGTATCAAAAATAACTTTCATGAATTCAAGACACAACACAGCAAGGACCCAAGCCAAAGTATTCTGAGACCCTGGGGACATACCAAATTCTTTTCTGTCCCTTCCTGGCCTATACGCACCATAATTTAAACCAGTAACCCCAGACCCTCTATGGACCTAGTCTGTGCCAGAGTATACACCAGCCACACCTCTGCAGTGCCCATGGCACCCCCCGCTTCCCAGATGTACTGTGAGGTCTTGACCGGAAAGTCCCAGCCAGCCCTCCCCCTGAGCCCTCTATGATCACCTACTTTGAAGTTTGTTCTCCAGCAGTGAACCTCTTCCTGGTAAAATAGTGGGTTTTCCAAGTTTTATTACACACTCCTGAGGCCCCACCTCTAGGCCTGCTCACACCACATAACTGCTGGGCCTAGTAGTTTCATCCCACCCCCAGTATTTCCCAGGAAATTTCACCCATATTTTGCTACTGACCCGAAGGTCAACAGTGGGCCTTGCTACAAGCCAATGCTTAGTAGGTATCCTCTGAGGTAACCTAGGCAACAGTTCCAGAGCCTATTTTAGCGGCCTTCCCAAGAGCCCCTGAACTGCATCAAAGCAGGGAAAAGGTAGTCGCAGGGGTGAGTGTGGCAGTGACCTCCCTACAGAAATTGTTTCACATGGTGTAGGGAAGGGACCGGTCCGCTCAGGTGTCAGTGTGGCCTGGGCAATCCTGAAACTGCCCTGGACAGCCAGTGACGCACACTCCAACTATCAAGTGGGGTCTGCAAACTGTGGGGACACAGGTGAAAGGAAGGCACCAAGAGCCCCCAAATCCTTTCTTCCAAGGCAGCTCAGCGAAGCTGCAAACTAAAAAGAAAGAAAAAGGAGTCCTTAGTTGAAAGATGTAGGAGCCGCTCTCCAAGGGCTCAGGGAATCCACAAGTGAACACCCGGATTTCAAGGCTTGTAAATTCACTAAATAACCTCCATGCCTTCTTAGAGACCAGGAGAAGTACCCGTTAGGGGAGGCAAGAGGAGGTAACCCCTGTTAGCCCCAGGGCAACATTGCTTAAAGCAGCATATTCAGAAGCACGAACTTGGAGTGGAAAGTGGAGTGGTCCTGAGGAGCCACAAGAGGGAGCGAGCCTTGAGGGAGAGGGCAGCCCAAGCCCCTCAGCTCAGCAACGAGACTTCAGAACAACGCCGAGGGCTTCCGCCGCCCGTGGCTTGACTGGGAGAGCGGGATGGCTCCTCTAACTTCTCCGAGCCCACAGGCGGGGGTTCAATGCAAAAAGCGCGCGCCTCGGGTCCTGCTATCGTGGGCCTCGACATCGTTATCGTTTGCGCCCTCAGCCTTGCTGGTCTTAGGGAAGAAACCTAGGCAGCTCCAAGTGAAAGCCAGAGGGGTGGGGCCGGCATTCCGGCTTAAGGCCCTAAGAGGCACCCTGCGGATAGCGGAGAGGCGTGGGGCACCCGAGAGGTTGAGGGGCTCGCGGAGTGAGCCACCGGGCCCGGCCTGCTAGCCGCCTCACGCTTCTCACGCTAAAAACCACGGACACCAACTCCTTGCCTGCTCTAGGATTCGGTTCAGAGGACACCGAGATCCGCTCCCTTCCGCAGGGTGGCAAAGGACGGCCGGTCCGGCTGGGCCGTAACCAAGGCGGGTAAAGAGACGCGCGCACACCCCCACTCGCACTCCCTCCTTCCCTTCCTCCCTCTCCCGTACACACGCACGCCTGCCATGTGTCTGCCTCTTCGCTCAGAGTAACCAAGATTCCTGAAGTGTTTCTGACAGAAAACATCTGCACACCTAGCCTCCCACCTCCGCACCGTCCTGCCGGGCGCAGGAGCAGGGGTTGCCGGGGAGATCCGCGGGACAGTGTCCCGCAAGCCCCCCCACCCCCACCCCCGCCCCAGCCTCCCAACAATTTCGTCTCTTCATTACTTTGCCTTCCCCCCCCCCAAAAAAAAATGTCTGAAATATTTTCTTCCGTACACAGTGTCAGAATACTTTAAACAAACCCAAAAGGTGCGTCTGGATTTGTACTGGGGCAAAAAAAAGATGTTCATTCTTTGCTAGGATCAATAAATGCCCCAGGTCCCACCCCCAGGACGTCTTGTGCCTAGTGTCTACTGCCGAGGCTGCTCAGACCCGGCACCTCTCGCTCTGCTAGTGCCATGGGGAAGGGGAAGGGGAAGGGGAGAAAGTTGGTGCCGCACGCTGGGCTGGCAGCAGTGAGAGCGGACACTCTCGCCTTGAATGCCAGGTGGGGCGTGCGGGGTCACTCACCTGCTTGGAACTCCACTTGGCGATTTTTCTCTCTTTCTTCCTGCAGCAGCATGGAGTAGAGGATCCCGAAGGAGTTCTGGATGCCGAAGATGGAGCCGTTGCACCAGGTGGCAGCGAAGACCACCATCCAGCCGAAGCCACCTTCAGGGGGCTGGAAGCCGCGCGCGGTGCCGCGGGTCTCCACCGTGGGCGTGGGCTCGGGCTCGTGCACCGGCTCGGGCTCAAACTCCAGCTCCGGCAGGGGTGCAGGGTCCGGTAAGGGCTGGGGCTCCGGCTGGGGCTCGGGCTGGGGCTCGGGTGGGGGCACCGGCTCTGGCTCAGGCTCGGGCTCAGGCTCGGGTCTACCCACCGGCTCCTGCTGTTCCTGGTCTGCCTCCCGCCAGGGTCCCTGGGCTTCCTCGCTGGCCGGGCTTTGCAGCGCCATCGCGGCCGGGGACTGTGGCTGCTCGGCAGAGAAGCCGCTGTGTGGTTGGTACTTGTTCCTGCTGCCGCTGCCGCTGCCGCTCCAAATGCTGCTGCTACCGCTGCCTCCTCCCGGCTCCGCGCCCCAGCTGGCCAGCCTGTCCCGCGACAGACGGTCCCTCGAGTCCTCTCCTCCTCCTCCCCCGTCCAACCCCCCTCCTTCTCCTCTCCCCGTGTCATCTCTCTCTCCTCCCCCTCCTCCTCCTCCTCTCCCCCCACCTCTTCCTCCCTCAACAGGCAGCCGCTACAGCCCTGCTCTTCTCCCCAGCCCTTCCTCCTCTTCCTCTTCCTCGCCTACCTACTGTAGCCGCCGCAGTCGCCCCCAACTCCCTTTCCAAAGTAACGAATCCTGTCCTCCTTGTCCAGATGCCCAGTAGAGGGAGAGTTAAAATGGACAAAAAGAGAGAGAACAAACTATCCTGTTCCCTGCCCTTTCCTCTCCGCAGGCTCCAGACCCAGTATCGATCAATCCAGAATCCCCAGGAAAAACCCCACCTGTGCTTTGCTCCCACTCTCTGGTTCCTCACGAGCAGCCTGGAACTGGGTGTGGCCCTGGAGACCCCAATACTACAGCTGGCCCGTGAGAGACCCCACCCTCCCTTTGGGAGTCCCTCCTTGGGCTTTAAAGGGGCGACCTGCAGGGGACTGCCCAGACTTCGGACAGAGGGGGAGCACAATCTTCTTGAGCTCCAGGGCTCAACCCCCTCCTCCACGGTCCTGGGCACCCCCGGAGTCTCCCCCCCTCAGCCCCCGCCCTTCCCGGCAAATCCCTGGCGGTGCGTGGAGGGGAGGAGGCGGCCCCTCAGCGAGGCCCGCCTCTCCGGGCAGTCAATCAGGGCTTTGTTTGCTCCAACCTGGAGCCCAGAGGAGTCGCAGAGGGCTGGGTCTGGGCCGGGGGCCGGGCCAGGAAGGGAAGGAGGTGCAGTGGCACCGAAGGTTGCTGGGCCCGACCGGGGGCGGGGGCGGGGGCGGGGACGGGGGCGGGGGCGGGAACGCGAGTTCAGTTCAAGCTCCTCCCGACTCTCCCGCTTTGGGGAACAAGGAGTCCCGGCCAGGTCGAGCCACTACTTTGGGTAAGGGCCGCCCGGCCCGCAACATCCAGGCTATGCTGGTGCCCCAGGCCTCGGCCGCAGCTTTTAGGGCGCTAGAATTCGGCGGAGCAGCTAGCCGAGGGAGGTGTTCCCCCCACCCATCGCCCCCTTCCGCCCACCTCCAGCTTAGAGACATTGAAGTCCCGCTAAATGTCCCAGACTAAGGCCTCAGCCCCGCAAGAGCGTCGGAGAGTTGGCCCCGCAGAAGGCGCGTGGGTCCCGGCAGGTGGGAGGGGTGATCTGCTCTTCGGGCCGCCGCAGTGTGCCTCTGCGCCCAGCCTCAGCCCTCTGGGCGGGACCCGGGATCCCGGCAAGCTCGGTCTCCCCTAAGGGCCCAAGCATCTAATGCACTAATCATGAGGTCGCGGTGTGGTTACCAAGCTACTCCGCTCCCCGAGAGTGGGCGGGCGAGCGCCAAGTCCTCTCTACCCAGCATCTCATTAACCCTCTTGCTAGGTGAAAAGGCTGCACGGCCGGTGGAAAGGCAGCCCAGGACTGCGCTGGGCGCCCACGAACGTAGTCATTTAAGCACCTGAGGGTGGGGCTGAACTAGGCGGGAGGATAACGGTGTCCCGAATGGTTTGTGGTGCCGTGAGAGGAACTGACCAAATTCACAAATCTCGGGGCCATATCTGCCAGCAAAGCAGGCATGACTATTGCCTTAAGGTAAGTATTGTCATCTGCTTTTTGCAAGAACGAAATCTGGGGCCTCCCTGGTGGCGGAAGGGGTTAAGCACCGCACTATGAAGCAATCCACAGCCTCTTCGGCGCGAGTTCAATCCCTGGCCGGCCAGGGAGAAACCCACATGGCGAGGCAGACCTCTCCTGTCTCCCGGCTGCTCCCCTCAGCAGTGTGTTTCAGTCAGTCTGTCTGTTCTGTTCCCACTCTGTCTCTGGTGAATCCTCTCACCCCCCACCCCGCATCTCTGGCCTCTACCCCAGCTCTTATATGCATAAATAAATAAATCTTAAAAAAAAAAAAAAAAACACGAAATCTTAGGCTCAGTGTGCAGGTCAAGGCATTTATTAGCCTGAAGTCATGGGATAAGTCAAGTACAAGCTGGCATTCAAGGCGGGTCTCTTGTACAGCAAAGCTTCAAGCTCCCTGAGCTTCACCACAGGAGTCTGGTGCTTAGTACTCCTGGAACAGAGGAGGGAAGGCAGGATCTGGCTGGCTAACACAGTAGGATTCCAAAGGAGGTGGGGGTCTATCGGGCCTTGAAAGTTGCTAAGGATTTTAACAGACTGGGCTTGGTGGTGGGGTGTCCCTGCATAAGATCATGCACTGACTTCAAAGCACAGAGACATGGACTTCAAAGCACAGAGACATGGAAAGACTACTCGTAGAAATAGGGAAGTGAAAGCTAATCAGGCCAAAAAGTTAATATGTATGCTGCCTCTCCCAGGAAACTTTTGCATTTTAATGAAAAATCTCAATGCCTCAGCCATAAGGAGTAACAAATCATGGAGCATGTGGGCAAGGGGCTTAAGGTTTGCTTTTTTCAGGGTTCTCACACTACAAAGGAATAATTGTTGCCCCAGGAGAGCACTAACCGTGGTTTCTATTTGCCTGGGAACCTGATTAAGACTCTGAAACAGATTTTTTCCAATCTCAGAACTAGGAATAAACCCTGGAATTTTGCAGCCCATCTCAGACCCCATCTAAATTCTGTTGTCCTCATTGTGTAATGGGTTTTTAGATCACTGGAGGGGAGTGAGGATAGGTAATGACACTCCTTAAGAATCTCCTGTGACCCTAGCACTACGCTAGCCCTTTATGTACATAATCTCATATTATCAATAATAAGGGCATAAAGTTGATATGATTTGTCCCATTTTTACAAGTGAACAAACAGGGGCCTAAGAGGTTAAGTCAATTGCTTGTTTAAGTCAACAAAGCCATTAAGAGGTAGAACAGTGTTCTTTGCTCATTTGTGTGAGCTTCAAAGTATGTGCCCCACCCAGGAGACCAGATTGTGTAACCACCATCCCACTTTTCTAGCAACACATGCAGGGCCTGCCATTTCTCCCCTCTTTAGAAGGTACTTTATAATGGCCAGTGCGCTGGTATCTTATCTTGATTCTACCACTACATACCTGTGTGATCTTAAGCAAGCTATTTTCTCTTTCTGAACTTCAATTTATCTGAAAAAATGGGGTTACTACCTGCTTCACAGAGTTAGTAAATGTTATGCTGAGAAGTATAGACTTTACTCTGGATATAGCAGAGTAGACTGAGGATTTTGGGGTAGGACACTAACATCAGATCTGCATTTTAGAAAGAAAACTGATAGCAAGGTAGAGGATGGCTTGGAAAGATAAAAGGTAAGGAAAGCAAACAATCAGTTAAAAAAAAAAGTAATGTTTGGAAGCAAAGCAATGGCTGTGAAGATGAAGATAAAGGCGTGGCTCTGTGAGCTATTGTTATGGTAGAGTTGACAGAAGCATTTTGGGTAGTGAGGGAAAAGGAAGAGACAAAGATGATGCTGACATTTCTTGATTGAGTGAAGGAATATTGTTAACGGAGATTGGGAATTGGGAGTCCAATTAGGTCTGAGGTGCCTGTGGCTTCCTGTCTCTTCCTGTCTCCTTCCAAACAATGCTGTCAATTACAACTCTAAAATACAATATTAATCATGACACTTCTTTGCTTCAAGAACTCTCAGTGATTCTCCACATGGCTCTTAAGTTTAAAATCCTCAGCCAGGCATTAAAGGTCCTTTATGGTTTAGGACCAGCCTCATTCATTCAGCAAATATTTACTGAGACTCTCCATGTGCCAGACTCTGCACTAGATAGCAAGGACACAAAAAGACTTTGTGCCTGTTTCTGAGCCACTCATATCCAATGTATATGTATAGCACCACTCTCTGTCCTTCTCACCCCACCCTTTTCTCCATTCATACCAGCCTCCAACCTTACTGGATTCCCCATTATTCCATAACTTATGGGCACCTGCTGGTCTCTCAGCGCTCGCTGCCTTTCTCTTTAGTGTCCTCCAGTTGAGATCCTCTGCCTTTCCTGAACTAGAATGCGTTCAACAATGCAGATCTCAGGATGAGTCTTGAACTGGAGAGGCATGCCTCCTGCCTTTGTTATTCATTCAGGCATTCATTTCCCAAACAGATATGAGCAGTTTTGTGCCAGTCACTATGTCAGGCCCTGGGAATATGCAATGGTCCTTGTCCTCATGAACTTTACATAGCAGTGGAAATATTACTAAATATAACTACCATTTATTGAATTTGACTTCACTAGACTGGAAACATTTAGAGACTGAGGAAAAGGAAAGGGAAGGCTATGAGAATGAGACAAGGTTGAGAAGGAGGTTGTAGAAGTAGGGCTATGGTTTTAAGATGAAGTTTTCCCTACAAACGTCTCAGTCAGACTCGGTGAACAAACGTTGAGAAACAAATCTTTAGAGAACACCTATTACGTGTAGACTCATTCGGTTTGGCTCATGCTCATGACAAGTAAGTAAAATATGGCCCCTGTAAACCTCTTAATTAGTTTCCTTGTGTGATTGGTCCTTGGGAGGTCTCTGGCTTATCCTGCAAGTGAGAAAATGTGCTTTCTTTCTGTCCCTAAAGGAAATGAGTTCCTAATGGAATCATTATTTATGCCCTTTATTATTTTACTAACGGACGGCCTAGAACAGTGGTTCCCTAACCAGATTGCACACCAGAACCACCTAGAGACTTTTGTAAAAAAAAAAAAAAAAAAAGTACTGAATCCTGGGTCCCAAACTATACTTGCTGAATCAGACTATTTGACAGTGTACAGCAGAAACACATTGCTTTCTTTTCTGGGCCATCTGGAAGGACATGGTCATCTGTCTCCTTTTCACAGGCATAATCCCAACAAACCTATGGCGTCAGTCTAGACAAGAGTGACCATCAGGGCCTCCCTGGCGGTGCAAAGGGTTAAGACACAACCTATGAAGCTATCCGCAGCCACTGCAGCATGAGTTCGATCCCCGACCCCCGGCCGGCCAGGGAGATACCCACATGGCGCAGCAGACCTCTCCTGTCTCACCCGCTGCTTCCCTCAGCAGTGTATTTCAGTCAGTCTGCCAGTTCTGCTCCCCACTCTGTCTCTGGTGAATCCTCTCACCCCCCACACCTCTGGCCTGTACCCCAGCTCTTGTATGCATGAATAAATAAATTTTGGGCTTCCCTGGTGGTGCAAGGGGTTAAGACGCAACCTATTAAGCTGTTCGCAGCCTCTGCAGCACAAGTTCGATTCCCAGCCCCCCGCCAGCCAGGGAGCAACCCACATGGTGCCACAGACCTCTCCTGACTCGCCCACTGCTCCCCTCAGCAGTGTACTTTGGTCAATCTGCTTGTTCTGTTCCCCACTCTGCCTCTGGTGAATCCTCTCACCCCCCACGCCTCTGGCCTGTGCCCCAGCTCTTATATGAATAAATAAATAAATCTTTTAAAAACAAAAACAAAAATAAATAAATCTTTAAAAAATAAATAGATAAATCTTTTAAAAAAAGGAGAAGGGAAAGGGGGAAAGAAGGAGAAGGAGGAGGAGGAGGAGGAGGAGGAGGAGGAGGGGAGGAGGAGAAGGAGAAGGAGAAGGAGAAGGAGAAGGAGAAGGAGAAGAAGAAGAAGAAGAA